CAGTTAAGGGCCAGGCCACCACCAGGCCCCTGGAAGCAGAGAACAGCTGGGGCCTAAGGCCCTGGACAGCCTAGACACAGGACCAGCACGTGGCCCTATCCTGTCTGCAAAGGTCACCCTCCACTCAGGGCAGCTGTCCCTGACCCCTGCTGGAGACCCTGGGAGGGGGCTTTGGAGTGGTTTTCCTAAGAACAGCTTGGGGGGTGGGGGTGGGGAGGGGCAGGCACAGAGGTGGGCTAGGGCTCAGGCCTCGCTCAAAGGTCTAGGGGGCAGGAAAGGCCACGCTCTGCCCAGCCATGACTCGGTGACAAGGGGATAGACATGATGACCTTGGCCAACCGCTGGGACGCAGGGACGCCAAGGATCAAAGGGCCGGTCCCAGCCTGGCTTCGGCTTCACCCGCCTGTCCGGCGGCGGCGCCTCTGAAGTCCTGGGCAGGGCCGCCCAGGCACCTGTCCTGCATCTGTTGTTGAGCCACTCGGAGTCCCCCGCCTGGCCATCCAGCCATAGTGACAACAGGAAAGTAAACACTCCCCCACCCCTGTGCTGAGAAGTGGCCAGAGAGGAAGTGGGGTTGCCAGTAGAGGCCCCCCAGGCTGGGACTGCCCGCCAGGGTTATTTATACCCCAGCTGGGGGCATGGCCTTGAGGGCGCCTTCTTACCCATCCAGCTAGGCCAGGGGACTTTTGGGGCAAAGGAAGGGAGGCAGGGGCATGTCAGAAAGAAGCACCTGGCATGGGTGCAGACTCCAACTAGCCCCCCATAATTTCTCCTTTCCACCAGTGCAGCCTCAGACTCTATAATCTGTACCCTCCCCTCTACTGTGCCCCGACTCCACATATCCAGGCTCCCCTAAAACACAAAGCCCAGCAGTCCCCGGCTCTGGGCTTCTGTGAGCAAGGCAGGCCCAGGAATGGGCCAACTTGGGGAAACTGAGGCCAAGGTGGGGGCAGGAGTCTAGTCTCGAGCGACCCCGACTTCCTTCCCCTAGCCAGTCCTGGGGCAGAGGAAGGTGGGGGGTCACCCATCTCATCACAGAGTGACCTGTGTTCTCAAGCCCAGAGAAGGAAGGTGACACCTGCCAAGGATGCTGGGCATGGTGCTAAGCCTTCCACCATGGTGGGTCACTGAAGGAGGGGCAGGCAATCCTGCCAGAAACGATGGGGGTGCGGGGTGGCCGGAAGGGGCCTCTCTCTCGACAGGGCGTATGACTCAAGACCATCTGGGACCCCTCCCAGTGGCCACAGGACATGGCGTCAATGGCTCCCGTCACAGGACATGACACTTTGGTCACTGTGGAAACTTGGGGGGGAGTCCCCCCCAAAGAGGTGTAATGGTGAGGAAGGGGTGGGACTTAGGTCAGCTCGGATTGGGGCTGGGGTGCCGTGCCGTGACCCCCATTGGGGCTCTCTGGGCCTCAGTTTTCAGTCTAGACCACCTCTGGGGACCTTTCTGGTACAAGTGCTAACATTCCAAGGGGTGCTGGGGGGGTGGTCTGCTCCCAGCTCAGGGAGATGCTACAGGGAAGCCAGCTCCCAACAACTCCTCATGCCCCACCTCAGAATTCTGTCGGGAAGACTGGCAGGGATGGAATTCCAAGTTCTTTTTCCAAGGAAGTAGCCGCCAGTGGTCACCTTCTCTTGGTGCCTGCCCCCCCTCGTTTCCACCCTTGCTTTCCACTGTCCCAGTGCTAGAGAGGGGGTACAGAGAGGGCAGTGGGGCTTCCTGCTGACTCATCCCAACCCCCTCCAATTCTATATCATCACCACCCCCGCCCCCACCCCACCCAGAGACCTACAGAAACAGCGAAATCCCAAATCATCCACCTTAACCCATGTGACAGCAGGGGAAACTGAGGCAGGGAGGGTGGGTGTGTTCCAGGACCCATGACTGAAATGTTTACCCCAGTCCTGCCAGAGCTCAGGGAAGAGTTGAAAGAAGTACTGTACCCTCAGTCTGGAAGAGAGTAGGGGTCACCCCAGGTCACCCGGTAAGGACCGCCAGTGGCCCAAAGAGGGCAGGGAACTGAGGACCCTCATCGCTCGGGGCAGCCCGAGTCGCTGGAGCTTCACTAGCTCTGGGTGACCGCTGACAGCTTCCGTGCCAGCAGGAGCCATAAACCACTGAGCCCCTGCTTCCCTGGGGAACAGGGACCCGGCCCTGGGCCCAGAGAGGGTGTCAGTGAGGAGAGGGGAGAGCTGCCAAGACTCGGGCCTGTCTCCATCTCTGCCGACGTGTCCAGACGTGGCTGTGGTGGTGGGAGTGCTCCCCTCCCCCTTGCCATCAGGAGGACAGAATTGCAGGGGGAGATGGGCATAGTGAGCCAGGGCTCTGTGGGGGTTTGGGTGCTTGGGTGATACCTCCTGGGAAGGGAAGCCATGGGCGGGGTGACATCCTGGTCCCCGTCATAAGGAAGGAAGCGTCTTTCCTGGCCCGGACACCTCACTTCCGCAGCATTTCCCAGCCTCCAGCACTCCCCCACATCCCCTGGTTGCCCGGGGTCCTGGCTCTTCGTTTCACCAGCTCTGGGAAGCAGCTGGTGATGCCTTTGCTGAGGCAGGGGGTGGGCGGCCACTGGCACCGAGGAGGCGGTCCATACTCCTCACCTCCAGGCCGCCCACCCCCTGCTGCCTGTCTCCAGGGCACCAGGCCTGCTGTCAGGGAGGCAGAAGCTGCCGCACACACAGGGGTCTAAGAGCAAAGGGGGCATCCCGCCCCCTTAGTTACAGCCCCACAAAGCAGCAGACCCTGACTGACAGCATTCCCCTCTGTGGGCTGGGCTGGGCACTGGGGAGTGATGGACAGGCCCCTGCAGCCTGGCCCTGACCTCTGACCTGGTGTGGGCTTTTGTGGTCCTCTGCTCCTCTGAGGAGCATTGCACAGGCTGGGATTGCCTGGCCAGGGTCTTTGTCAAGCTGGAAAGACAGGCAGACCTGCCCTTCTGAGAAGGGAAACTGAAGTGGGAAAGGATACGGCTGGTGGGCAGGGTCCAAGCACGCCCTCCTAGACACCCTCATCGCCTCTGGGGAGGGGTGGCCCCCCCCGGCCCTTTGTCATTTTCCCAAAGCTCCGAGGGGCCTCGGAGGAAGGCCTGGGGACCCGGCTGGCCCCCTGGCTCCTGGCCTAATCCCCTTTTAATGAGCGGCCAGCCGGAAGACCTCGGCCCCCGACCACAGCCCTGCTGGGTTGGGGGCAGGGTGGCCCAGAGGCCTGGTGTGCACCTTGCCCTGGTCAGCATGCCAGCCCCATTCATGCCCCATGCCTAAGACCCCAGCCAGGCCCACCCAGGGTGACACCTATCTTGTGTCCCCCATGGGCCCTTCCTTGACATGGGCCATTTCTGCAGCACCAGGGCCTCCAGCCTCTTTTCCCAATGGGCGAGGCCCCTCTCAAGCCAGGGCCTAGGTTTAGTAGTAGGCGTTAGCAGCCTCAGCTTGGAGAATGGAGTCCGGGTTCCTCTGGCCCAAGTCTTTCAGTACCTGCCCCCCCCCCCACCCAACCTCCAGAGAGATGGTGAAGAGGGCTCCCCAGGAGCCATCTGTACCCCGCCCCTTCCCCTTGGCAGGTGAGCCAGGTCTTGCCAACAAAGCCAATTACAGCCGCTCTCACCCAATTAGCAACTAATTATGGCCTCATCGCCCATTCAACATAATTAACATGTAAATGACTCTGCGTGTTTATATTCAATAACCGCTCTGATTGAATTTAATTCAAGTCTGAACTGGGGGCCCAGTTACCCTATTTCTCTGACTGCCACTTTCCGACTGCCACTTCCCGGGGAGATGGGGTCAAGGCCAGACTCCAGGGACAGCCCTGGGGACAGAGAGAAGGGCCCTCAGGCAGAGGGACCGGTGTGGGGATGCA